TAGTCCCAGCACATAGATGGCACTATAGATAATATAAGGTAGAATTAAAGTAAGCCTTTAGAGCATGGGTGTCAAACTTGATCCTGTCCTGTGACATATCGTGATATATCGCAGTGTTTTTTGCCTTTGCAGAGCTGGGTGGGGGTGGCCTACACATGATGCATCTGGCCCGCAGACCACCAGTTTGACAGGCCTGCTTTAGAGAAACCAGCGGATAAGTGGAAATCTACAAAGAGCAATCCTTCATTTTTATTATTATGATTTCAAGAACTTTTTCAAAAATCCCCAACCCATGCTGTCTTTTTGTGTTATGAAGCATGGGGGTCCACAGGATAGAATCATAAAAGTCAACCTAGCAGTTGCAATTGTGCAACCAATGCTGTCATTTTGACTTTTTGACATTTCTACTATCAAGGAGCTTTGTTAAATCATTATGCAGACCTTTGGTGGGGGTCTTGTGTTCAGATCCAGCGCACTGATCTACAATTCAGATGGAATGGGGAATGGGTGATGCCTCAGTTATTCTGTCTTATTAAAAAGAGTGTGATTGTTGAAGTGGTTAGAAGACAGGAAAGCTAGTCCTGCCTTAGGCATTAAACCAAGGGGTGACTGTGGGTCTGTCTCGTTCTTTTAGCCCAAGGCTAGGGGTAATCAAAAAATATTGCCATAAAAACTACTTGGATTTGTCCATATGTCACCATGAATCAAGGTTGAATTGAATGTACCAAAGAAAAAAGTGACATCCTAAGTATGCTTCAATATAAATATTTATATGTTTTAAACATTGTTCATTTGTTTTTCCTTTATATATTTATTTGTATTTTTATTCTTTCCTTTATTTTCCATTTTGAAAAATTAAAATGGATACAGGCAGATCTGTGACCTTCCGGAATTGAAGTGACGGAGATGAAAAAGTACAGAATCATTTATATTATTTAAATGCAAAAAGTTTTGTGTCCTTTTGACAGTAGTATGCTTCAGAAAACAAAATCAGAGCAGAACAATACATTTAAGAAGATATTTACATATTTTATTTATTATGGGTGAACTTGCCATTCTATTATTTCCACACTCGGAAGACAGTTCCTGCTGGCAAAGATATAACACATCAAAAAAGATCCTAACATTATTTCTATAACTAATTGGCATTTCAAGAAGCTTTTACTGAAAATTTGTATTTTAAGTTTATTTACACATTAGGAGCAGTGAAACAGTGATTAAAACAATGGAAAAATCTAGTAGCATCTGAAACCATAGGATCAAATGACTGGTCTAAGAATAATTGCTGTGCACTCCTATTTGTACAAGTGCTGTAATTTACATCAATCAAAAAGATATCACTCAATGAATCCCAATAAGATGTGATACATTGCCTTTTGAAAAGTATTATGTTTTACATGAACTAGATTTGATCTGAAATGACTGTATACATATAGAAAAATTAATATATGCCTCACACGTGGAATATTGTAAGAGCTGATCAATGCATGCATGCTTATAAACATGCCTTTACCACATTTCCTCAGCCATGGAAAATTTAATAGAGCATGCCTAGATATTTGCAATCAGAATGAAGCTCCGCTGTTTTTAGCGGAGCTTATTTTTGTATTGGTTTTCATTTTTAACTATGCTTTTAAATCTCTTCGGTTTTGATTCATAGATCTTAAAATCTCCTAAACTTTGTTGTTTATACCTATTATTTTCTCCCATCAACCTGATAATAGACCTTAAAACAGACGACTCTGGTTTTACTAGAGAATGCATATTGTAACAAAACAGAGAAATTTCTTTTGAAGTAAATTGTCCAGAAATTACAGAAAAGGAAGGAAATATATTTTTCCTTTTCTAGAGCACAAACTATCCATTTGCAGTAAGGATGCCTTCAGAGAAATAATTTATTAAAACAGAAAAATAGAGACATGATCCATGAGTCTACTTTAAATGGCATTAATGTGCTTCTCAATAAATAAGCCACATTGGTCTTATTTTGGTGCTCTATTAGCCTTTTTTGATATAGGCCAAGTCAGAAAACAGACTCCACAAGGACTACTGGAACTTTATTGTTCTAGGATATAATAACAGAATTTTGAAAGTCTGATTAGAGTATATATCAGTGGTGGTATTCGACCGGTTCCGCCCAGTTCTGGCAAGCTGGTAGGAGCGATGAGCAACGGAAACCGAACCAGTTCTCTGCCACTCTGTGTTGGGCCCACCCGCTTGCCCGGACTCCCAGACTCACTTTTATCTGCAGAATTTGAAGCACAGCTGCTTTGCGCAGCACAAAATAGTGCTGCACGGCAGTTGCTGAAGCAACCAGGATCGTGCAGGAGGTGAGGTAGAATGCCTCTGCACCTGCGCAAAGGCTTCTGTGCCTGCGCAAAGTGTGCATTTGGTGTGTGCGTGCGCGCAAAGTGTGTGCACGCACACAAAGTGTGCCCACCAAGCCACGCCCACCGAACCAGTGGCAAAAATATTTGAAACCCACCACTGTTATATACCTCACACCAAAGAAAATCAAGGCAGGAAAATCTTGAATTTCCTTCTTATTCTTTCCTCCCTTCCAGGACTAAGTTTCTATTTACAGTATGTAATGAGTGTTGCATTCCTTCTTCAAGATCGTCTCCATAATCCACTCCATGATGCCACAATTTTAGTAGTATATAATGTTAGATCATGTAGCATATATATTGTAGACCTTGTAGAGATTATGTAGATATACATGATCTCTACAAGGTGGGCTAAAATAAATAGAATTTAGGAGCTGGCTTTCATATGCTGTACTGTTTAAGGCTCAATTCTTGTTTATATAATGAGGATGTGATTGCTGAAGATTTATACAATTCCAAAATGCCCCCCAAAACTTCTTAAAGACTTCTAATTAGGATTATTTCAAATTGAGGTGTTTAAAAGTAGTACTGTACAGCAATACTAAATTCTATACTATACTAAATTCTAGCCAATGTCTGTCTTTGTACAAAAATTGCAAAAAAAATATATGGTGAAACTAAAAACAAACTTCTCAGGACAGAGAAAAAGTTAGCGTGGCTTTGATTTATAGCCTCAAATAAGAAAATGACGGCATCAAAATAAATGCAAATTCTATGGATTCATATATCATATGTGATACACACACACACATATACACCAATACAAATTTCTTGGTAAAAGTTTGGAAGTGTTTACTACAGTCTTCATCCAGGATATATTTTTTTTAATTTCCTGTACTGATATTAGATTACAGCCTTTGAATTTCCTAACATTTCTCATTCAAATGCTAATAAATCCTCAATTTGCTTAGCTTCTGATCCAAATCAGGTCAACTAGGTGCATCTTAGTATTCATTATTAGAATGATTCTTTAAATAGTCATGATTTTATATTAAGACTATACTCAGCAGTTAAAAGCAATATTTTTCAGTCAAAGAAAAGATCTTCAAGGCAACGAGCAAGGTGTGCTACTGTTTTGTTTTGGATTGTTTTGTTTTTTTGAAAAAAACTTGCAATTCCTTATAGACAAACTGTAGAAGCCAAATACTATAGTTTCTTTAATTCTCAAAACTCAGTAGAGAACGTTTTAGTGAACCCATAAAAATAGCTCTTATAACACCTGTGGAATCTTCCTGTGTCATTTAGAATTCGGTATAATTTACATTGAAATGTTACCTCCAGACCATATTTTTAAAACATGTGTTACAAACAGCCAATAATTGGCAGCAAATCCCCTCTGGATTCTTTCCAAAAGGTAAGATTAAAGGTTCCTGTTAGGCACAGGCCTGCTGGCAACAGGAAACAGAAATTTTGCACTGTTTCCCAGCCTTCCACCTGAAACTTACATCTGACTTTTAAAAAAAAAAGCACAACAGGAGGTGTAATTATTGGAATAATCAAACCTTCTATAACCTCACTGAAGGGCTGAGGTGTAGCCAAGTGTCTGTTTCCCTTACGAATATGATTATTTCATGATGAGTTCAGTTAACATCCTCTTTCAGTAATTACCCAAGTTCTTTCTCATTTTAGAATGATAGTCAAATGTTTAATTCTTTAACAGTAATGAGCCTGCCAATTTACACTGTAAAAATGACATTTAAATTACAGAGAGCCAAGGTTATGTTGAAAATAACCCCACAGTTTATGCATCCTAACCCTGGGTGCTGTGGTTTCCATTTTCTATCCAGGGCCCAGCCCTGCCCTACTACTCTTCTTACTCTACTTCAGTGTTGCTCAACCTTCACAACTTTAAGACATGTGGACCTCAACTCCCGTGTTGGCTGGATAATTCTGGAAATTGAAGTTCACACATCTTAAAAGTTGTCAAGGTTCGTAAACACTGATTTTATTTTATCCCACTTTAAAAAGTGGTTTACTGAAACACTTCTCATATCTGCCTGCTTTTAAGCATGATCCAAAGCTTTTGATACAGCTTTTATAGTGAGCTTTATAACTCACTCTTTCTCCCTCTCTCTCGCTCACCTGCACACATAGAATTAATTGGGGTAGGTGTCAGAGTAACCTATTCTAAAAAAAATCAAGGCTAGAGATTAATCTACTCCTCAAGATCAATAATACTTTATTTGTTCTCACACTTATTCAGAACATTATTTCAATCCATATTACTTTTATAATTTCATATAACATACAAATTCCCAGAATCTCATTATAATAGGATATAGATTCCAGAAGGGTAATTTAAATATTTCACAGTCCACAGGGGAGAAAGAAAATGTATGTAATTTCTTGGAAATGAATTAATTGTAAAATATATTTTCAAAGCTAGGTGCTGAAAAGTGACACCTGAATATAAATTGCATGGCACAGTTAAAATGGTATAATGTACAATAAGTTGTGATTATAGAAAGTCTTTGTCATTAGTCTACCTTTTAGTACATACTACAGCAGGGTTTTTCCTACGCTTTAACTTAAAAAAATGTAGACAAAGAACTAATAAACAGAGCTTTCTTGAAATATTGAATGATGTAAATGAAAAAAGAATATAGCACTTACCACGTCCACTCTCTTTATTTTGAAAGTCATTTGCTTTGCTTAATCTGTTCCATGGTAGTTACTTCACAGTTTACAACTCTTAGTCGGCACCTTGAATGTTTAAAAGCACAACAGTAAGAGATTATTAAAATACAGGTCTCTTATTAGTGAAGCAATTTGTATGAAAACCTTTGAAAATAACTCCTTTTATGCTTTAGGCAAATAGCTGCTATCACTTAGAAACTACGTATTAGGAACAACTAAAGATCAACTATTTTTTAGTAAATTCCATCTGAATTCTGTCTTTGAAATGCTGAAGTATAATAATAGTGAATTTACACCAGGTCTAGAATACCATACTAAAATAAATGCAAATATAAAATACACTCGATACTTGGTATAATTTTTAACAGTTTTAGCTTTCTCAATAAATGTATATGCTTATTTTCTGATTTATTCATCATGCTGAATAAATTAAACTCAAATTATTAGGGCACTATTGCAGATTGTATATTTAATGGAAAAATGTTGAAAAGATGGCTTTATGTGAGCATAGTATCTTACTACAATTATTATTATCTGTCCAAATTTTTACTTGTGTACTAATATGTATGTATATGTATACTGAGTGTATTTGCAACCAAGACAAATTCCTTGTATGTCCAACCACACTTGGCCAATAAAGAATTCTATTCTATTCTGAAATGAAATGTGCATTGCACAATATTCTGTGCATTATCAGGATAAAATAAATCCTGTGTGGTCAGTCTTAACAGGAGATACTAATATATTAATATAAAATTAATCCTGATCCACTGTGAGATCTGTGAGATTGATGAATTTCTGTAAAAAATAGTGAGTTAAAAACAACAACAGGCAAATGAAAGGTGATGCTTTCTCTCTTCACTTCTATATATTGATTAATTATTTACATGGCATCAGGTTGGTATCGACTCTTGCAATCACATAGATAAATGTCATCCATGACAATCTGTATCTATCTGGTCCTTCAGGTTTTCCAGTAGTTCATCCATTGTCACAGTAACTTTCTTTCTGGTCTTCCTCTTCTCTTTCCCTCCCAACTTTCCCAAAATCAGAGCTTTCTCTTTGCATGTGTCTGAAGCAGAATAACTTGAGCCTAGTTATTTATTTATTTCCTTCCTTCTTTCCTTCCTTTCTTCCTCCTTCCCTCCCTCCTTCTGGTTTCAGTGAGAACTCTGGATTGACCCGTTTGTTGTTTGTTTGGCTGTCAATGGTATTCCCAGAAGTCTTATCTAACCTCTAAGTTCAAAAGTGTCAATACTTATTTTTATCCAAATTCTTCAAAGTCCATTACTGTACTTGTATATAGGATGTTACTTTTTAATACCTTGCTAGATCATAAACCTGTACATTTTGCAATACGCTCTACTAGATCAGTTTAGAATTCTATTTCTTCATGGGCTTCATGGGTCTATTGCTGCAGATTCTGTGTCTTGTAGGACTATAGAATTGGCTCAACTGAAAATGTAGACAGCTAATGATAAAAGTAACAATAGCAAAAGCACTTAAACTTATATACCACTTCATAGTACCTTACAGCACTCTCTAAGCAATTTATAGAGTCAACATATGGTCCCCAACAATCTGGGTCCTCATTTTACCAACCTCAGAAGGATGGAAGGCTGAGTCAATCTTATGCTGATCACAATCAAACTCTTGGCAATGAGCAGAGTCTGTATTCTATAGTGCATTCTAACCACTGCACTAATATGGCTCTAGTGTAATAGTAGTAAGGTACCATAATTGCTAAAGCCATCTTTTCAATATCTTTCCATTAAATGAATAATTCTCTCCCTCATTTGCAAATTTATATAGCCTGTACCTAATATTGAAAAAATGAGAAGTATTTCTGATGAATAGCTAGTGGTAACCAATAACAGTTCCAAATCACTTCTTGCTGTCTAAAGGCTGGAAGAAGCACTTTTTAACAGTTTAAGTATCAGCAAAAAAATAAGATTTTATTGTAAAACTTTTGTGTAGTTCATATCTTATAACTACAATATATAATGACTAAGAAACTGATATTATTTAATGACTATTACTTCCTCTCATATTAACTGGTTTTCATATGGCACACCTAAACATTTGTAAATAAACTGTCTAATACAAACAGCATAGTGAGTCTGTTATTCTCTTTGTAAAGGAACTGGGGGAAATGGAAAGAACGTGAACAACTCAACATGTGTAATGTATAGATTTTATTCATGCTTTTTCTAAGTTTCTAACAATTCAAATTCATGCATTGATTTATAAGTTCTACTATGTCCCATGTTTTACACACCGGTAAATATGCCTACCTTGCACTCTGACTTTTATTTTGCTATTTCAGATATCTTCATCCTCCATCTGTGAGACCATTTTAAAGGCTTTCAAATTAACAAATTCCTCCTACATTTGATACAGCTCTACAGGCACAACATATGTACAGGCATTTTCATAGAATGATTAGTCTCTCAAATGTTTGGCTATGCAGAGTTTTCTGAGTTTATTTTGACAGACCAAGATTGTTTAGTTTTCTCTTTAATAGGCATTGTTCTTGACACACATTAACCAAGTTTCAAGGTTTGTTTAATTAAGGCAAATAAATAAATAAATAAATAAATAAGGGTATGTTTTAAAGCAGGCCTGTCAAACTGGCGGCCTGCGGGCCAGATGCGTCATGCACAGGCAACACCCACCCCAGCTCCACAAAGGCAAAAAAGTCATGATCCATCACAATACATCATATGACATAATTGAGTTTGACCCCGTGCTTTAATGGGAAAAAGCAGAATTCTGAAGTGTGGAAATCTACAGGAATTCATAATTGGGTGGCTGTGTTGGGAAATACTGTTATTTAGAATGAATCAGGGACAGTTTTTAAGGTTGTTGCAATCCTGTGCACATTTTCCTTACAATTTTTTTTTCATTGAACATTATGGAATTTCCTCAGAGTAAATATAAATAGGATTAGATTGTCTAAGTGGAAAGGGTAAGAAAAAAAGTTTTGTGTATTTAAGAAAGTGAGCACTCATAAACATCAAATATATAAAACACGGTAAGTTCTGAGTCTGTCAAAAGGGCCCAGAAAATAAATTTGCCTTTCAGATACTGAGGAAAAAGCACACCCCTTGTTCCTGGAAAAGCATGTTATGTGCACCTGCTTGGATCAATTTATAAATAGATCAGCTTCTCCAACTTAATGCTAGGCAGAAGGGCTTATTAGGACTGCGATTCCCAAAATTCCTCATCTACCATGACTGTTTGGGATTCTGGGAGCTGCGGTCCCAATTGGTGGGCATCAGGTAGGGGAAGATTGAGTTAATGGAATGACACGCTACCCCTCAACCACCCGTATCTTATTAGGAAGAGCATACTGCCTCCAATGAAGTCAACTTGCCGGCCATCTAAGCCCGTCACTATTGACACTTTGAGGCTAGACTTTTCGCAGCGCTGCCAGGAAGCGCCAGGGGCTGTGAAGCGGGGAACATCCGCCTGCGCGCTCTGCCACTGAGCTACGCCCCCTCCCTGAAAACTCCTAGGCAAATGTTAATAATAGCAGAGCAGACAGAAATTTGAGAGGCGAGATATTTTCCCAGTATGGAAAGATTTTTTTTTGGGGGGGGGGGGGGGGGGGGGGGGGGGGGAAAAAAAAAAACTTCCGTTCCTGACATTCTAACGGGGGTACTAGGTTAAAAAAGATAGGAACCTTGCCAGAAAAGAAGCAAGGGAAACGGCGATGGTAACCCTGCGCATTTCACTTTACCAGTTTGCAGTAATGAGATACGATTTCCCTGACCGCCCCCACCACCCCGCCTCCCCAGTAATCCCGATTTAGAAGCTGTCCATTTAAAACCAGAACATCGACAGGTACCGCAAAGAAGGAGAGGGGTGGGGAGAAAGAGATGTTCCGCGTGCTGCTTTGCTTCAAAGCAATCATCAAAGGGGAGCCGAGAAAGTTCTGTACCTTCTGGAATTTGGACACGGTCCACCGGCTTAATTCAAAAAGAATCTCGCCGGACTCCCTAAAGACCGGTGTGTTTCATGATCTCATAAGCTTCCTGTGGATGACAGCCCACTTCCCGAACTAGCCGCTCTACCCGCCCACAAAGCGAAGCACTCAAGGGAAGCCGAACAAGGCTGCGACCCTACGCAGGACCCTCGGCTTTTAAAGCGACCTCGCTCCCGCCGCCCTCCCCGAGCCAAACAGGGGTCGGCCCGTCGGTGTTCGGGCCACTCGCAAGAAGGGCCGTCAAAAAAAATGCCGCCGCCGCCGTGCGTCAAAGGGCGGCTTTGCTTGAGTCGGACAGTCGGCCAGGTCAGCCCCCAAGCCGCCCGCTTCGAGTTTTCTCCGCTGTGACCCAAGCCACGCGCTCGGCAGGCGGCGGGCCCGATTTGCTCCGCCCCTTTTTTTGATCCTTACTGCACTCAGGAGAGGCTCGGTTGAAAGGGTGAATTTGGGGAAGCGGGGCGGGGGGGGGGGGTTGGGGATCGTTCACGCCGCTTCGAACGAAGTCGCGCACTTTGGAATGGCGGCGCTCCAGAGGGAAAAAAAGCTTCGCTCAAATCTCAGCCAGCCATGCGAGCTTTTGAGTCTGCCGCCGCCGGCTCTCTCTCTCTCTCTCTTTCAGACTTCCCAAGGCGTCAGGTCGGATCTTTCGCCTTTCGGCTCCCCAGAGCAAGGGAAGCTCTTAGGCAAGACGAAATAAGCAGGATTTGGGGGATATAAAAGCAGCGCACGAATTTACAGATTATCTGCTTGGCCGTGGCCGTCGGATTGGAGTCATTCAGTTAGACAGGGGCTTTGGGGCAGCTATTGGTGCCCTTTCCTAATCGTCCATATGTTTCAGGCATGCCTTTAAACACAAGGCCTGTTTTTTTTTTTTTTTTAAAGTATTTCCATGCTGTACACTGAAGATACAGTTCCTGTGTTTGTAGCAAAGGAAATGTCATAAATCGAATCTCTCTCTCTTTCTCTCTCTCCCTTCCCCTCTCCCCTTGGAAAGTGGATTTTCAACTAGATCTGAATTATTACATGAGAGCAAATCTAAACACTCTTCCCCTCTTCTTTAAAAAGAGTTCTTGGAAGACAATTCTTCTTCAGGAGTCTATTCCCAAATTGCATGTCCCCTAAGCCTCTTTTCTGCTCTTACCTCTTACTGGTCTAACTAAACAATTGGGGATTTTTTCATAAAGCAGGCAGAAAAGTATCTTGAGGCTCACAAAGCTTGCTTGGCATGTCATCAGATTGCCACGTAGTGGCAGGTCTATATGCGCAGTTAGGAGAACCAGTGTTTTCAGGGCGATGGCAAGGACGAAGCCAATGAAGAAAGCTACATTTGGCGGCCTTATGTTCTTTCCAGTAGTTAAGAAAGAAAGCAAAACGATTTCCAAACTATCTTTGTGCATAATCTCCAGTGGTGTGATGGGTGACAGAGAAATTAAATAAACAAATAGCTAAATAAATAAATATTGCTACAATGTAAAGTGCCAAAGGCTTATTCTTCAATGTATTCAGGTCTAAAAGGCTCATTTTGAGAGAACCTGTTCTTGTTACTTTTTATTTATATCCTGCCATTATCCAGCTCAAGATGGCATGTAAAAGGCTCTCTCCTCCCCACCACACACACACACACACAACAACAACCCAGTGAGATAAATTGGGCTGAAAGCAAATGATTGGTCCAAAGTCACCGCATCAGTTTCAATTTCTAAGAGAGGTCTAGAACTTCCAGTTTCTAGACCAGCATCTTAACCACTACACTATCTCTTGACAGGTACATAACCTAGCAATAGCACTTAGATGTATATACAACTTTATAGTGCTTTATAGCCCTCTCTAAGTGGTTTACAGAGTCTGCATATTGCCCCCAACAGTCGGAATCTTCATTTTACCAACCTTGGGAGGATGGAAGGCTGAGTCAACCTTGAGCCAGTCAGAATCAAACTCCTGGCAGTCGGCAGAATTAGCCTGCAACACTACATTCTAACCACTGTGCCACCACAGCTCTGTATAATACATATATTATGTTTTCTGAAATATGGGTCACACTTCTGAAACACAATGGAGAATGATCTGTCAAATGTTCTGTCCAAGCACCACCTGTTTTAATATTTTAAAATCACAGTGTTATATAACAGGTTGCCCTTACATTAAGATAGATATAAAGATAGATATAAAGATAGATAGATAGATGATAGATAGATAGACAGATCTGTTAACTATTATTTATGTTTTAGATTTTTCTGCCAACTTGACAGACTCTTTTTTATTCTAAAAAACATAATTAATAATAATTACATGATGTGTAGACCTAGTGAAAAATATGTATGCAACCATCAATGCTAGCCTCTGATCTGAAAAGACTTCTCTTTAACGTGCACATATATGAGAAGAAAATGCAGTTCATACTTTCTCAGACATTATGTATCCTCATAATGTAGAGCAGGGAGAGAGGCAATGGACCCAGAATGAAAATTAGACTGGAGCTTTACTGAATAATAACCTTGCAACAGTTTGGCATTAAAAGGGTAATAGCTTTAATATTGCAGTGCCTCATAATATGCTTGATAATCAGTGCCCAGCCTTTGTGATAACTAAAACTGTAAAATATAAGTCATCAGACGACGCAATAACATCCTTTGGCTTCTGGTGCAGCTATTACCAATTACTGGAATAATTATGTAGCTCAAACTCCTTATTTTGGGAGGAGAGAGCTGCCATGTATTCCCATCTCCCTAAATCCTCTAACCAGGAACCCTGTCTGAGAACAAAGCACCACTGTAATAGCTTATATAAAGAATAAACTTACAAGAATGACTACTAGAAAATATTTTCAGGCCACTGCAGACAAATATAAGATCTAGCAAAGATTTCTTCCTGTCTTGTTTTTGTTCTTAGTGAAGGGGGGGGGGGGGACACACTATGGTATATAAGAAAATGGCAATGGGAGGCAACAGTCAGATTGAAAGAATTTTCTAAATGGCTGCACTTTTTCTTTAAAAGACCAAGTTGAACTGGAAAGGAGGAGTTATTCCTCACATGTCACTAGCTGTGCTGTGCTGTGCTATGCCAGGAAAGAAAGATTGCTCTTTCCTGTTCTACAGACAACAGGGTCTGCTTGCAAGTTCAATCTGAACCTCTTCCAGGATTAAATCCTTGAAGATGTAAAGTAGATGTTAAAACATAATTAGTTACACTGGTTACTCATAATACCTTCCTTCCTTCCTTCCTTCCTTCCTTCCTTCCTTCCTTCCTTCCTTCCTTCCTTCCTTCCTTCCTTCCTACCTACCTACCTACCTACCTGCCTACCTGCCTACCTGCCTACCTGCCTGCCTGCCTGCCTTCTTACAATAAAAATAACAAAAATAGAATTTTTTAAAAACACTACAGTAGGGAAACATCACTTGAAATGTTTTCCAGAAAAGCTCAATTTTTAAGAACTTTTTGAAAGCCATCAAGGGGGGTAAGCTAGATCTCTGAGAAGAGATCATTTCATAGTATTAGTGTTGCCATTGAACAGCAATACATTTTGGCACTGGTTCTGCTTAACTCTGCTAGAAGACACTGAAGCAGTTTGGAGAAGACACTCAGGCAGGCACCAAACCTATATGCAGTACATTATACTGTAGGTTAAACTAAAGCCAGGACCTTAAATTGTACCTAGATCTGAATCAATAACCAGTACAGGGCCCACAATATCAATCTTACACTGGATGTCAGTAAACACAAGGGTCTCTGTATTTTGGACTAGTTATAATCTGCATAAACTTCAAAGGTGGCTACATTTAAACTACATTTTATTTATTTTTATTTGATTTGTCAATTGTTTACAAGATAATAAGTACAAGTGTATACATAGTTGTGAATATATGAAATGGGTACATATAAGAAAAATAAAAGAATAAGAGATTATCTGAGTGATGAGAACATGAAGTGTATACTTCACCAGGCACACCTGGACTGGGCAGGGGCCCTTCTAGCCCTTGCTTCCATTTGGTGTTCATGCAGGAGCTAGGAGTTCAGAAGGATCCAAAATCAGGAACTTGGTTCTTAAAATGTAGTGCTTGCATGTCCAGAGATAAACCTGGTGTTGATGGAAAACACTGATATACAAATAGCAACTGTCTTGCTTAAGTTCAACTTCATTTTTCTCCCATCCAGGCCCTTATAATTTCCAAGCCCCAGAATGGATCATTAACAGAATCTCCTGTATTGCTCAGTGTGTGATTGGATATGATGTATACATTGATGATACCACCCTATTCTGTCAGTTGATCTCCAGTGATTTAAATGTTAAAGTGCAAGGGAGAAAGGAGAACTCCTGTAGTGTCCCAGTTGCTTTAGGCCAACCTCTAACCCCCCCCCCCCATCAAAACAGACTGGAACTGTCCATTAAGGAAAGAGCAAACCAAGTCCTAATCCCAATTTATCTATAGGTGGTCTAGTAAGATACTGTGGTTCATGGTATCAAAAGCTGACTATTTTGAAATTGTGGCAGTATATAAATTCAACACATCAAGAAGCTCCTAATCTCTTCCCAGGTGAAATTCAAGATGCTGGTTATCACATTTAAAGCCCCACATGGCATGGAACCAGATTACTTGTGGAACCTCCTTGATGAGAGTATCTGCCCATTGCACTAAGCCAAATATGGTGGCAGGTTCCAGGTCCCTTCCTTTAAATATTACCATCCAGTGGGACCGAGGAAGTGTACTTTTCCTGTCAGCAGCAGCTGTCCTATGGGACACCCTTTTCCCCAAGATCCAGCAGGCCTCCAGCCCCTTAACCTTCCAAAAGGCCATCTCTTATCCCAAGGTTGAGATGGTTTTGTTGCTTGCATTGGGTAAGGGTGGAGGTGTCAAATTTCAGTATTTATTGTTTTTATTATTATTATTTATTTGTAATGTCATAAGCACTCCATGTTTTGTTTCATATGAGGCGGTGATATAAATTTTTAAAAATGAAATAATAAATCAATCTGGGAAATAAGACAGCATGTATAGAAAAAGTCGACATGTCGTCTTTGGCTTACAACAGTTCATTTAGTGACTGGTCAAAGTTACAACTGCAGTGAAAAAAGTGACTTATGACTCTTTTCACACTTATGACTTGCTGCAGTATCCCCATGGTCACATGATCAAAGTTCAGATACTTGGTAACTAATTCCTATTTATGATAGTTGCAATGTTCTGGGGTCATATGATCACCTTTTGCAACCTTCTGCCAAACAAAATCAATGGGGAAGCCAGATTCACTTAACAACCATGTCATTCTTAACAGCTGCAGAGATTCACTTAACAATGGCAAAAAGATCG